AATATCTAAATGGTATAGGTACTATCCAATCAATATCTGAACATCCAGAAATTATTTGAATATCCGGATAATTGACTCAATGGATCTAACTTCTAAAACTGATTGATTAAGATAATAAATGTTAAAAACCTTGTACGGTATTCTAATACTCTAAAATTTATTATTTTAGAATTATTATGTTCAAGACATTGTTCAAGATTAATATTGATTAATATTAATAACGACATATATATAGGATTCGATTATCGATTATGGCGATTCGATCATCGATTGAAGTTTTTAGAATCGATTCTCATCCCTAGAGTTAACTAATTTAAAATTTATTGATAACAATTTTGATCATTCTTATGACCCTTATGACGATTTTTGTTATAGTCTGAAAGAAAAATATCAATATATTGTATTTGACAAAACATGGAATGATCGTAATGCTGATAATTTATTAAGTGGCAGCTTAGAAAGATGGGCTGTACAAAATGTCAGTGCTGATGGCCAAGAGAATGATCGAGGAATTTCCACTATTATCACTGCTACTAGTAGTCTTTGTAATATAGATGTTTTGAAGTCTCAAATAACACAAGAAACAATGAATATTACAATTAACAATTTTAGTTGTAATTGTCATTATCATAAAATGGAATTTCTAACATCAATAGGGAGCAGAATTTTGACTTTTTAATTAATAATTACAATGGTTATAATAGACTTTTATTAGTTAAATTGCCATTTAATATATTTCCTAAATTATTAAAATTATTTAAACCATTGGAGTATAATGACATCACTAAAAGAAATATTGAAGATATGTTAGTTAATGCATCTAATATTTTAACCGAGATTTCTCAATATACTGATTTAGAACACAAGGTTCTTAAATCCTCTCTAATATTTTTACTTAATTCATATCTCCCTAAGTATATGTGTATATTTTTAGATCCATATTCGAAATTAAATGTTAATTTTAGTGTAAGTTTTATTTTATTATTATTATTTTTTAAACTTTCTAAAAGAGGACGCCTTATGGCGTGATTTGTGTAAGTTTTATTTAACATGGTTTAAAATATACTGTAAAATAACATAAATAGAAGGCAACTAAAATGACTGCGCTAAATAAATGTAAAGCTTATTATTCACAGTAGTGTTACAAATTGCCAAAAATTTTTCAATCGATTAGTTGACTAATTCAAAAATTTTCAATCGATTAGTTGTC